AAATAAAAGAAATGGTTAGTGAAGCGGATACAGACATAATTGCAATAGTGGAAACTAAAATATATGATATGAGCTTGGACTCAATCTTCCCAGAGGGACACCAAGTGATAAGGAAAGAAAGTACACAGAGACACGGAGGGAAAGTGGCACTCCTTATAAAGCGGTGAGAGAAATTTGAGGAACTAGAGGATCGGGGGACTAATGGAAACAGAAGCTCCATACTTATGATTCTGACAGGTGATGGGAAGAGGATTGTGATCTTGATAATCTACAATCCCTCACCAAACAATTAGAGGCCCAGACAGGAGTATGATGATAACAACAAGGCATGTATAAATAACCTGCAGAGGGCAGCAACATCAGCTCACAGATAGTTAGGGGGGCCTCGTAGCCTGGCGGATAGCGCGCAGGACTCGTAATTCTGTGGCGCGGGTTCGATTCCCGCACGAGGCAGAAACAAATGGGCAAAGTTTCTTTCACCCTGAATGCCCCTGTTACCTAGCAGTAAATAGGTACCTGGGAGTTAGTCAGCTGTCACGGGCTGCTTCCTGGGGTGTGTGTGTGTGTGGTGTGAAAAAAAAAAAATTAGTTAGTGTAGTTAGTAAACAGTTGATTGACAGTTGAGAGGCGGGCCGAAAGAGCAAAGCTCAACCCCCGCAAAAACACAACTAGTAAAAAGAGAGTCAAACTGCTGGTCATGGGGGACCTCAATCACCGAGAGGTCGATTGGGAATAAGGAACTCTCCTTAGTGGGGAAGAAACGTGGGAGCAAAATTAGTGGAAGTTATAGACAGGAATTTCCTAACACAACATGTGAAGGAAGACACAAGGGAAAGAGGAGGGGATGCACCGAGTCTATTAGACCTGATTTTCACACAGAATGAGGAAGACGTTACGAATATTGAACATGAAATACCACTAGGAGCCGGTCGGCCGAGCGGACAGCACACTGGACTTGTGATCCTGTGGTCCTGGGTTCGATCCCAGGCGCCGGCGAGAAACAATGGGCAGAGTTTCTTTCACCCTATGCCCCCTGTTACCTAGCAGTAAATAGGTACCTGGGTGTTAGTCAGCTGTCACGGGCTGCTTCCTGGGGGTGGAGGCCTGGTCGAGGACCGGGCCGCGGGGACACTAAAGCCCTGAAATCATCTCAAGATAACCTCAAGATAGGAGCCAGTGACCATTTTGTCCTAGACTTTGCCTGGGAAGAAGAACTAAGGGGAAAACCCGTGCAAGATATATCTTGAGGTTATCTTGAGATGATTTCGGGGCTTTTTAGTGTCCCCGCGGCCCGGTCCTCGACCAGGCCTCCACCCCCAGGAAGCAGCCCGTGACAGCTGACTAACACCCAGGTACCTATTTACTGCTAGGTAACAGGGGCATTCAGGGTGAAAGAAACTTTGCCCATTTGTTTCTGCCTCGTGCGGAAATCGAACCCGCGCCACAGAATTACGAGTACTGCGCGCTATCCACCAGGCTACGAGGTACCCACTATATGATGGACTTAGTCAAGTCAAACGGCAAGAAGGCTGAATAGAGTTGTATACCAACAGTTAAAGAAAAAGGAAGGAGGGAATATAATAACCCATGGTTTAATAGACAGTGTTAGGACGCAAAATTGAGAAGCGGGAGAGAGTGGAGAAAGTACAGAAGACAAAGGACGGAGGACAATAAGATTAGATGCGACAGAACTAGGAATTAAAATATTATTATAAGAAGAGTATCGGAAAGGAATTATGAAAACGATATTACAATGAAATCGAAAAAACAACCTAAATTGCTACATAGTCATATAAGAAGGAAAATGTCGGTGAACGACAAGGTGACAAGACTAATGAAAACAGAAGGGGCATATACAGAAAATGACAAGAAAAGCTGCAGGGCACTGAACGCCAGTTTCCATGGAGTGTTCACAACCGAGCCTGAGCAGCTCCCATTGTTAAAGAGGAGATGACCCAAGATGAGAGACTAACAGATATAGAGGTGACAGCAGAGGAGGTCATGAAACAGTTGACAACACTGGATGCAACTAAAGCAGTTGGACCAGACAATTTATCGCCGTCAATACTAAGAAGCAGCGCAGGCTCTCAGCGTGCCTCTGGCAAGGATCTATAATGAGTCACTTATGACAGGAGAATTGCCCAGTTACTGGAAGAAGGTAAATGTACCAATTTTCAAAAATTGATTAGGAAGAGGCACTTAACAACAGACCAGTATCACTGACAAACCTCCCCTGTGAAGTATCTGAAAGAATACTCAGGCTAAGACTGGTTACACACCTGCAGAACATTAGGTATGTCAACAAACACTAATATGGCTTCAGAGACGAGAAATCATGCCTACCAAACCTTCTGGAATTCTGTGATACAGTAACAAGAATAAGGCAGGACAAAAAAGGTTAGGCAGACTGCATATTTCAAGACTGCCAAACAGCCTTTGATACAGTACCACACGGGAGACTGCTATACAAACTTGAGCGGTAGGTGGGAGTAAGCGGAAAGGCCCTTGCATGGGTGAGGAACTACCTGTAAGGAACAGGAAGGAGCCAGAGTAACAGTCAGGGGCGAGAAGTCAGACTGACAAACAGTAACGAGAGGAGTACCTCAAGGATCAGTGCTGGGATCAGTTCTATTTCTAATATACGTTAATGACATGTTTACAGGAGTCGAGTCCTATATGTCGATGTACGTGGATGACGCGAAATTAATGAGAAGAGTTGTGATATATGAGGATTGTAGGACTGCAGAAAGCGACCTGAAAGCTGAGTGGACAGCGCTTCGGTTTCATAGTCCTGAGGGTCCGGATTCGATCCCCGGTGGAGGCGGAAACAAATGGGAAGAGTTTCTTTCACCCTGATGCCCTTGTTACCTAGCAGCAAGTAGGTACCTGGGAGTTAGACAGCTGCTACGGGCTGGGGATGTGTAACCAAAAAGGAGGCCTGGTCGAGGACCGGGCCGCGGGGACGCTAAGCCCCGAAATCCCAAGATAATCTCAAGATAGGATAATCCAAGATGACTTGAACAAGTTGAAGAGATGGTCAGATAAATGACTGCTGGAGTTCAACACGAGTAAGTGTAAAATTATTGAAATGGGACTAGGTGACAGGAGCCGGTCGGCCGAGTGGACAGCACGCTGGACTTGTGATCCTGTGGTCCTGGGTTCGATCCCAGGCGCCGGCGAGAAACAATGGGCAGAGTTTCTTTCACCCTATGCCCCTGTTACCTAGCAGTAAAATAGGTACCTGGGTGTTAGTCAGCTGTCACGGGCTGCTTCCTGGGGGTGGAGGCCTGGTCGAGGACCGGGCCGCGGGGACACTAAAAAAAAGCCCCGAAATTATCTCAAGATAACCTCAAGATAACCAGGAGACCAAAGGGACAGTACACAATGAAGGGGACCTGTCTACCTGTAACGATTAGAGAAAGAAACCTGGGAGTGGATGCAACGCCAAATCTAACTCCTGAGGCACATATAAATAAGATAACGACAGCAGCGTACTCTACACTGGCAAAAATTAGAACACCGTTCAGAAACCTAAGTAAGAAGGCTTTTAGGGCACTTTACAGTGCCTCCGTGAGGCCAGTCTGAGAGTATGCCGCCCCATCATTGAGTCCCCACCTGAAGAAACGCATAAGGAAACTGGAAAAGATTCAAAAGTTTTCAACGAGGCTCGTCCCAGTGTTACGAGGGATGGGGTATGAAGAGCGCCTGAAGGAACTGAACCTGACAACACTAGAAAAAAAAGGGAGAGGGGAGAATATGATAGGAACATATAATATACTCAAGGAGATTGACAGTGGAAATAGACGAAATGTTCACGCTGAATACCAACAGAACGAGGGGACATGGGTGGAAGCTAGAAACTCGGAGGAGTCACAGAGATGTTAGAAAGTTTTCTTTTAGCATGAGAGTAGTGGAAAAATTTAATGCACTTAAGGCACAGGTTGTGGAAGCAAACTCTATTCATAACTTTAAAACTAGGTATGCTAGGGAAATAGGACAGGAGTCATTGCTGTAAACAACCGATCCTGCAGGCACAAATAGGCGAATGTACACACACACTCACACACACACACACACACACACACACACACACACACACACACACACACACACACACACACACACACACACACACACACACACAGACACACACACACAGACACACACACACACACACACACACACACACACACACACACACACACACACACAGACACACACACACAGACAGACACACACACACACACAGACACACACACACACACACACACACACACACACACACACACACACACACACACACACACACACACACACACACACACAAACACAGACACACACACAGACACACACACAGACACACACACACACACACACACACACACACACACACACACACACACACACACACACACACACACACACACACACACACACACACACACACACACACACACACACACACGTCATTAACGTGGGTAGAAATCAATCGTAACATTTTCCAAACTAAATATTTCAGGTTTGATCCAGGCCCTGAGAGGCGAGGAGGGCCGCAGTGCCCTCAGTTCCACCCAGCTCACAGACGTGGCACTCAAGCTGGCTTCACCTGGCACTTAATAGTAGCCTAAGTAACACTCCAAAGCGAGTCCTAAGTTGCCTCTATCCCACTTAAGTGGCACTATATAACCAGCTCTTTAAGTGGGAGTCATTAAACACTTAAACAGAATTTAAGAATCCCAGTGGATCTTTACTAGGATACACGTTTCACTTAAGTAGTACTTATAAAGTAGTATCTACTCACTTTACCAGACTGCAAACACAAAATCTGGTAGGATTAAAAATATAAATTAAGTACGTATGTAGACAACACTTAAACCGGATATACAGTAGTACCCAATAAGTATCCCAGAGCTCACAGTTAAGTAGACGTTAAGTGTCACTTCATAGCGTGCTTGAAGTGGGACTCGAGTCACCATGCGTGTCCTCCTCCTCCTCCACAGGGCGTGGGTATCCTGCACAAGGCCGTCCTCCACGCCCACAGGGACATTGTAGACTATCTCATCGAGGACTACCCGGAAACCCTTGACGTCACCGACAATGTGAGTATACCTACTTTTGTGAGTTTACTCTCCCCTATTTATGTGAGTTTACTCTCCCCTATTTTTGTGAATTTACCCTCCTCCTACTTTAGTGAGTTTACCCCTACTTTAGTGAGTTTATCCTCACTACTTTTGTGAGTTTACCCCCTACTTTAATGAGTTTATCCCCCCTACTTTAGTGAGTTTATCTTCACTACTTTTGTGAGTTTACCCCCTACTTTAATGAGTTTATCCCCCCTACTTTAGTGAGTTTACCCCGTACTTTAGTGAGTTTACCCCTACTTTAGCGAGTTTACCCCCTACTTTAGTGAGTTTACCCCCTATTTAGTGAGTTTACCCCCTACTTTTATGAATTTACCCCCTACTTTAGTGAGTTTATCCCCTACTTTAGTGAGTTTATCCCCTACTTTAGGGAGTTTATCTCCTACTTTAGTGAGTTTACCCCCTACTTGAATGAGTTTATCCCCTACTTTAGTGTATTTACCCCTACTTTTGTCAGTTTACCCCCTACTTGAGTGAGTTTACCCCCTACTTTAGTGAGTTTACCCCCTACTTTAGCGAGTTTACCCCCTACTTTAGCGAGTTTACCCCCTACTTGAGTGAGTTTACCCCCTACTTTAGCGAGTTTACCCTCTACTTTAGTGAGTTTACCCCCTACTTGAGTGAGTTTACCCCCTACTTTAGCGAGTTTACCCCCTACTTTAGTCAGTTTACCCCCTACTTGAGTGAGTTTATCCCCTACTTTAGCGAGTTTACCCCCTACTTTAGTGAGTTTACCCCCTACTTTAGCGAGTTTACCCCCTACTTTAGTGAGTTTACCCCCTACTTTAGTGAGTTTACCCCCTACTTTAGTGAGTTTACCCCTACTTTAGTGAGTTTACCCCCTACTTTAGTGAGTTTATCCCCTACTTTAGCGAGTTTACCCCCTACTTTAGCGAGTTTACCCCCTACTTTAGTGAGTTTACACCCTACTTTAGTGAGTTTATCCTCCCTACTTAAGTGAGTGTTAATCCCCCTTTCATTCGGTTTTCGACCAATATTGTGCACAACCTTTTTCTTTTGAATTCAAGTATCTGTGCAGTTAATACAAAATACTTCGAATTAATTTATTTAGTCGTTTGGCTTTAATCCTTTGAATTTGTCAACCTTGTAATTGTGTCTAGATATGACCGTGTGAATTTGATTGTTAACCCCCGCCCCCCCTTTAAAATTTAATTTACAAGTAACTTTTTTGGCTTCAATTATCTCTTTATTTACGTAATTCGCAACTAACACTTTTTTTTCAACTAATATGCATGGCATGATTAGAAAGTAGTTATGGTGTAACTATGTTTGACAATTATGGTGTAATTGAAATTGAAATAAGTTTATTGAGGTAAAATACACACAAAGGGATGAGGTAGCTCAAGCTATTCTCACCCCGTTCAGTACATCGTGTTAATACATACATAGACACACATCACAAATAAACATATTACCAAACATTCTGAGAGGTAAACATATACATTCCCTCCTATGGTGTAATGGTGGTGTGAACTATATATCCATCTGTCTGTAAATGCTAGTGTGTTAGGTGGATTGTGTCTGTAAATGCAAGTGTGTTAGGTGGATTGTGTCTGTAAATGCTAGTGTGTTAGGTGGATTGTGTCAGTAAATACAAGTGTGTTAGGTGGATTGTGTCAGTAAATACAAGTGTGTTAGGTGGATTGTGTCAGTAAATACAAGTGTGTTAGGTGGATTGTGTCTGTAAATGCTAGTGTGTTAGGTGGATTGTGGTTCGCGTCGTTTGGAACTGAGAGATGAAAATTGTTGGCTGTAAGTTGCACGAGAATACTGTCAGAACTGTAAGTAATACAAACTTACTAGGAAACTAGATTTATTCCTCCAAGGAGTGCCGGACCAACCGGGCTGTGGTGGGTATGTGGGCCTGCGGGCCGCTCCAAGCAACAGCCTGGTGGACCAAACTCTCACAAGTCGAGCCTGGCCTCGGGCCGGGCTTGGGGAGTAGAAGAACTCCCAGAACCCCATCAACCAGGTTAACCAGGTAAGTGGAGGAGAGGAACGATGCTTCGTTGGTAAGTCCGCCATGTTTGTTTACACTCGTGACGTCACAACAATGGCCGCCCGATATTCGCTAGACAAAAACAATGTTTAGCGTTAAAGGAACTCCAATTAAACATTACTTTTTTAGACTTGTATATAATTTTGAGATAGTTTATTTGGTGCTATTTAAATTCTATATAATATGATCTCTGTCAGAGTTTGTTTTCCAAAACAGAATGTCCTAGGTTCGTCTCCTGTCTTGAGTTGATTTCGGGGCTTTTTTTAGTGTCCCCGCGGCCCGGTCCTCGACCTGGCCTCCACCCCCAGGAAGTAGCTCGTGACAGCTGACTAGCTCCCAGGTACCTATTTACTGCTAGGTAACACGGGCATCAGGGTGAAAGAAACTCTGCCCATCGTTTCTCGCCGGCGCCTGGGATCGAACCCGGGACCAGAGGATCACGCGTCCAGCGTGCTGTCCGCTCGGCCGGCAGGCTCCTAAGCAGGTTGGAAGACCTAGCACAGTTCTTTGTTGCGCTACAGCCACCATTGGTTGGGAACGTGTTTGCAAATCGATTGGCGAAAAATGTCAGGAAAAATATTAAGATCCGCACATAACTGACTTTCATCTAAAAATCATTCAGACAATTTACATGTCAAACACAAAATTTAACGACTCAAGATTCAATTGGAGATATTGAGTGGAGATTGAGAACTCTTCCTGTAGAGCAGTCTGTAGTTTTATTCATCTATTATAATCTCTGTAGATAGACAATATTCTATCATGTATGTATATAACATCTGAAGACGATTAATGGTATATACGTAAAGTGTTGTTGAAACACTGCATGTCTAAGAGTGCCATCACTGTACACTGTTGTACACTGTACATGTGGCCGGGGACACGGTTACTGAGTCTTCCGTGACTTCCTCAGTGCCTTGCTCAACCACTTGGACTGGACGGTAGAGCGACGGTCTCGCTTCATGCAGGTTGGCGTTCATTCCTCCAACCGTCCAAGTGGTTGGGCACCATTCCGTCCCTCCGTCCAATGCCAAATCCTTATCCTGACCCCTTCCCAGTGCTATATAGTCGTAATGGCTTGGTGCTTCCTCCTGATAATGCCCCGGCTCAGTGCCTCCGTCGTACAAGGACACCATACACCAGCACCTTGAGGATTGCTGCACCAAGTGTTACCACCTAGCCACACACTCTCACCTAAACGGAAAGAAAACATTCACATTCTCACGAGTCTCTGTACTCTGCAAACTGCAGAGCTCTATCCTGAGAGTTTAAAAAAAAAAGTACTTTTTTGCTATCACATAGATGTGTGCACGCACGGGCAGTGGGTATGCATGGGCTGTGGGCACGTGTGGGCACGTATGTGTGTAGGTGTGGGGTACGGGCGGGCGTGCGGGCGGAAGACTGACGCTGTGTCTCCTGCAGAAGGCGGCGTTGGCAGAGGAGGTCGCTCGCATCCTGGACGCAGACCCGAAGTTCCCTAAGGCCCCACCTTCGGATCCCGCCACGTCCTCTGACGCGCCTACCCGCACGCCCGCAGTGTTACCCACGCCCGCACAGATACCCACGCCCGCCAGCACAACAGCGCCCGCGAAAGCGCCCACGCCCCGGCGGGAAAATGAAAGCGGAAAACAGTTAGTGCGTGACAGTGCCCTCGGGGCCATGTCGAGGATCGAGGACACGAGCGGTGTGGGTGGTGGCGTGGAGGGCGCGGGTAGTGTGGATGTAGGGCGTGAGGTGGATGTAAAGGGCGTGGGTGGTGTGGATGTCGGGCGTGTGGAAGGCGTGGGCGGCACGGTAACGTTCCCAGAGATAGTGAGGCTGGGCACGGGGCCGGGCATGGAGCTGGCTGACTGGTCTGGCGCCATCCCAACTGGATGTTACTCCACTCGAACCCCGCGACGAAATCAACAGCAGCAGCGTGAGATGTCACAGGTGCAGCAGCCGCCACAGGAACAGCCGCCACAGGAGCACCAGCCAGAGGAACAACAGCCAGAGGAACAACAGACACAGGAGCAACAGAGGCAGCAACAGGAGTTAGATAGTGAGGATGAGGAAGACGACACAGTCTTCTCTCCAGAACTTTCTCTCTCCATCTCGCAGATGTTGTCTCGAGGCCGCAGCGGTCGCCTGCCTCGTCTCGCCTCGCCCCCACCCTCGCCCAGCTCCGCCTCCACCCACCTCCCTGAGAACCTTCCACCAGTCGACCACATTCAGAGCGTCGACAGCAGCACCGTCGAGCCTCGACCCAGCAGCCTCACAAGCAGTGCCTTCCTGCAACACATGGAACGTGTCGGTAGTCATCGCCCGCTCACCCGTTCCAGTCTCTCACGTCACCGGCGGCTTCCGGATATAGTTCCACGTCACCAGCGAGATAGAATGAATTCCGGGTCTCCCAGACCAAGCACGCCCACGCCCACGCCCAAAAAGCTATCCGCATCTCCCACACGCCTCATGAACAACTGGAGGAGGCGCGCGGGGAATCACGTCTCTAAAATCATCAGCAGTGAAGAGGTGGAGGAACGGCTCAACACGGCTCTTAGTAGGATAAAAGATAGCGATTCTGAGCCAGATAGCGACGGTGTGGGAGGCAGAAGAACCTACGAGTCCTTCATATCGGCGACGCCACCGCCAGGATTGTCTTCGGGCGAGGAACGCCCACCAGCACTCGCCAACCACCATCTCACAAACTCTCCGCCGCCCACTCACACCGTTCTCAACACGCACACTCTTCTACCGCCTTCAAATTCCCCGCCCATAAACTCGCCACCACCAGTACACTCTTCGCCACCTATGGAGACAATTGGGGAGTCACCGACGCCTGTGCTAACTCCTACCTGTATTTCCCTTGGGCCAGAGTCCAGGGAGAGCTCGCCCATTGACACGGCCCGCATCAGCCAATCCAGAGCTGATCAGACTGACAGAGACTTCCTGGAAGACAACTCCAGAGGCGACTACACCGAGAACCTCTTTGGAGATCACTCTATAAGTATCCAGACTGAGAGTAGCGTCCTGAAAGATCATTCTGGAGATGACTACACTGAAAATTTAATGGGAGATATTTCCAGAGGCATCCAGACTGAGAGGAGTTTCTTGGAGGAGGGGAATATCCACGATGAGAAGATAAAAAAACCTGAAAATATATCGGATGAGTACCCAAAAGATGTGTCTGATGGATCCACCAAGCATTCATCTGATGGGCACCCTAAAGATGCATCTGATGGGCACCCCTCAGATACATCTGGACAGCCTGCTCAAATTCTGAGCACCAAGGCTCAGAAATTGAAAAGCACAACAAAAGGAATTCCTGCTGGACACACCAAAGGAAAAACTCCACAGGAGGATCCCGCCATCTTGCGCTCCAGCACCCACACCGAGGCAGCAACCCGCCCTGAAGAAAGGACACTTGCTGAACATCCAGCAAATCAAAACCAATCAACAGGACTGACACTACCTTCGGACACTCGTACAGTAGAAAAAAAAAACTCCATAACTGAAAAATACTTCGGATCTCCTCCAGAACGGCGTGCTACAGTTTCACAGACACAAGTTGACGAGCTCAGCAATAATCTCCTCAGACATTTTGCAGATCAAGACTTGCTTGTTCAAGACATTAGTAATAAAGAGCCAAGGAACTCTGAACCTGAAACATTAGAGTTGGACACCAGACTGGAGAAATCTGAAGTCCATGAAATTGAAGCAACTGTCAGTCATTTCACAGACCGACCTCTTGCAGTTGTGGACTTTACCGTCGATAAATCAGAAAGTCCCGAAGTTAAGGCGCTTGTTACACTACTGACGGTGTCTGATCCAGCAGCGGAACCCTCACACTCCATCGTCCACACAGACAAACCTAAAGTCCTCAAGACTGTACGAATAGTAACTCCAGGCCCCTCCAACCTGGAAGACCACGATGTCAATTACGATCTGCAACTGGAGTCATACTCGAAAGCCTCACCGACTATTCAGAGATACATCCGATGGCTAAGTTCGAGGATCATCGCAGAATGCTTTGCTAACCTGAAGCACGTGTATGCCACGTCTATCAAGCGACACGAGGACATTAAAGAAGTGTGGAATATCGTCTACGACCATGACATTGCCTACTGGGCTAAGGTCATTGTCGACAGAGTTCTGGAAAAGGTAATAAATTTCTTGATAGAGATAGAGAAGGAAGGGAACGAATTGTGGGAAGTTTTAAAACATGGGCCTCTTGATGGTAATAGTTATATTATCGAAAAGGAAGAGTCTAAAACGGGAAAGCCCTTCAAATCCCAGGGAATAACAGAAACCTCTGATGATGAGGATAAAGCAGTCATTGGTATAAGCCTGAACGGTACAGGTAACGGCAGTCCACAAGCAGATGATTGTGTAATGGAGCCTTTGCATCAGAAAGTGCAAGTGTTGACCGACACGACACCCGCAGAGAACAGGAACCTTCACAGGCATGTCAAGTCCAGTAATAACTCTTCATCCAAGCTCAGAACACGAACAGTCACGCCTAAACCGAGTGCAGTTCACCTAAGAAGTCTATCCAATTTGTCTTTTGAGGATTTAGAATCTATAACTAGTGTACCTGTGGACAAACCTTTTACTGAAACATCAGGAAAGGGTCCAGATACACCAAAACGAACGACAAGAGTCTTCAGAAGTAAGTCTAGTCAACCTCTTCAGAGAGATGAACGCAAAGCTGTAGCGGCCTCAAGGAGTCGGTCCTCAGGAGCACCAGGTCAACCTCGTACTCAAACTGACACAGTAAGAACACTGAAGAGTAAGACCACTGTAGCTTTTGCTGACTTTGTTGCTGCTTCTTCAATGTGCATCTCCAGGAAGTCCCCCGAAGCGGATACCAGTCGATCAGACATGAATGAAGCCTTAGTAGATTCCAAGTGTCGAAATCCTGAATCTTTTGATTTTCGGATACAATCTTCAAAAGGACTTCTTAGTCCATCTCAGACACCGAAGACTCCATCAGTTCAGGTTGAAAGCGAAGACCGTCTTAGTCGGTCGTCTTCAACCAGATCTGGTCGTCGATTGCGAACACCTCAAGATTCTGAGAGCCGACCGCCATCGTTTATCAAGGAATCTGTACGCAGAGAGATGATGGGCTTCAGTAGACTTGCACTCACACCCCAGCGAGTAGAGAGCCCAAGTGTTGTAGTACGAGAATCTAAGCCAAAAAATATGATGGATTTTGGAAGACAGTCTCTAATTGAATCTGAAAGTTGGGTAAAATCCTCAAAAGAGACCCCTAGGAGTATCAGAAACCAACGGAACAAGATTATTAAGGAATCAAAGGGCCCCACAAAAATGGATCTGAGAAAACAATCTTCAGCAGACTCAAAAAATAGATCCAAAGCAAAGAACCAAAAATTGGTTGATAGGGTGGAAATTAAAGAACCGAATCTAAAAGCGACCTCGGTCGATTCTGAACATAAAGACAGCTTAGTAATCAGTGAAACAAAATTAAGTGATAACATGGATAAACCTATAAACCAACTCAACACTTTAAAAAGCATATCTGAATTCCAAGAATCCATCGCAAAGTCAAAAGTTAGAGATAAATCTACGATCAAAGAATCAAAACCACGACAAAGGATTAGCATTGGCCAAAAGTCCCCAGACGGGTTCACGGTGAACCTGAGGACTATGTTCGCTACCCCAGTCTCACGGGAGCCTTCATTTGAGGCAGAACGTCAGTCTTCATCCCCACCCCAGCTGCCATCTGATAACATGGATAAAACTGTAAACCAACTCAACACTTTAAAAAGCATAATTGAATTCCAAGAATCCATCGCAAAGTCGAAAGCTAGAGATAAATCTACGATCAAAGAATCAAAACCACGACAAAGGATTAGCGTTGGCCAAAAGTCCCCAGACGGGTTCACGATGAACCTGAGGACTATGTTTGCTACCCCAGTCTCACGGGAGCCTTCATTTGAGGCAGAACGTCAGTCTTCATCCCCACTCAAGCTGCCATCTGATAACATGGATAAAACTGTAAACCAACTCAACACTTTAAAAAGCATAATTGAATTCCAAGAATCCATCGCAAAGTCGAAAGTTAGAGATAAATCTACGATCAAAGAATCAACACCACGACAAAGGATTAGCATTGGCCAAAAGTCCCCAGACGGGTTCACGATGAACCTGAGGACTATGTTTGCTACCCCAGTCTCACGGGAGCCTTCATTTGAGGCAGAACGTCAGTCTTCATCTCCACCCCAGCTGCCATCTGCTCCTCAATCCCCTCGGTCTCCAGCAGATCTTTTTCTCGAGGATCTGGATAGATTGTTCGGTACTCCAGATACTGTCAGCTTTCTTGCCGAGACTGACTATGCAGTTGGGGATAATAATACTGTTGAAATATCATGTGCCGGAGAAGACTCTAGAAGACACAAGATGCCACCCAAGTTACAGAAAGAGGCCATGTCAGCGAAGTCACCAAAAGACACTGCATCAGCAAAGTCACGAAAAGACACTTTGTCAGCGAATTCACGAACATCTCTAAATGTAAGACTACTGAGTAGCTCCGCTGATGATTCTGGACATGGATCATCAGAAACCATATTAAATACAAATGCTATTGAGTTAACACCCATTGGCAAGACTTCAGATAAAATAAAGATTCCAGTCAACCCACTGACACAAGATCCACCCGCCCATACCACGCACAACCAGCAAAACTTCCAGCCCCGCTTGAAAAAAACACTCAGCACTCGAAACCTGCTGAGTCTGAATCAGAGCACAGAGGATCTACGGAACTTTGACGAGTCAATAAGTGGATCGTCACTCGAACTTCAAAGCTTGTTTCGCTCTTCAGTTTTCAATTTAAGTGGATTGAGGTCTTCCTCAAGATCGTCGAGTCCGACCTTCGGGGAGCTGCAGACCTTGACCCATTACCCAAGTTCAGGGATCATAGAGAGAGCGGTCTCCCCTCCGCCAAACTAATTTCCCCTCAGAATAACTACCGCTGAGGATGGTTGGGTACGAACAGCCTCGAGCACTGCACCGTTAAAGGACTCTTGCAACATTTCTTATTACTGGTCCAAGTGTGACGTCTACCACTAGTCTCTTTTGATCCAAGATTCATCAAGCTGCCACTTACGAAATCTGTACATTTTCCTCAATCATGGGACTTTGCTTACATTTACAAAACAGTTTGAGCTCCAAAGCACTGCGAGGTTGTTTATAACAATAATAACCATAGGCTGCGAAGTTGGAAGCTCGTAAACTGTTTATTAAATCTAAAAGCCGCCATGATTAAGGAAACATGTAAAGGTTTCGTAAATGATAAATCCAACCCTACTGTGGTATAGGACAGCTTGTCAAGACTCTGGCCGTATAATCAAACCAGACCGACTAAATGGAAAAGAATCTTCCGTTCGGAGTATCATGATACCTGTTGCAATATAAAGACCGCTTATATTAAAGAAACAATCGCATACAAAAAACAATGTTCTAAACCTTACCTCGAGTGCAGCTGAAGCCCCAAGATCTACACGAAGAGTTTCTTCTTACTAGATTTGTTGGGAATTATCTATCGCTAAGATGTCAGCCTCGTTATCAATGGTCATCAATATGAAAATATCAACCCGTTCTCGCAAATTTAATAAGTCAATATTGACTTATTAAATATGTGCATAGGTGACATACTTAACATAATAGATACCCCTAAAAAGATTCATAGAAAACACCGACCTTACCTAACCTTGTTAGTATGTTAAGATAAGCATCTTATTGCTTCGTAATTACAATTATTACCTAACCTATAATAGGTATAGGTTAAGTAATAATTGTAATTACGAAGCAATAAGATGCTTATCTTAAGATACTAACAAGGTTAGGTAAGGTCGGTGTTTTCTATGAATCTTTTTAAGGGTATCTATTATGTTTAGTATATCACCTATGCACGTAGTTAATAAGTCAATATTGACTTTACGAATTTGCGAGAACGGGTTGGAAAATATTGATGACAGCTTATGGCGAGGTCTAGATATGAAAACAGCAATGCCTGGAAACTTACAGCATTTTATACCAGCGTTTGTGACCATATGAACATGTGTGCTAAAGGTAAACCTGTGGATTGTTGCTGTTTAAGATTCGCTACCCGGAACAAAAAGTTCCAAGCAGCACGGGCTATGGAGAGCCCGTAGTATATATTTACCTGTGGAGTATATATTTGTCCAAGCAGTTTATTAGATATTTATTCGGCCTATTTGCTAAATCATCAATGTAGGCTTCACGTCCAAATCTCCATTTTTTTGTAATTAAGAGATCTAGTGTCAATTATATTTTATAAAGATGACATAAATATTAAAAAACTGCAAAATATATTTATTATTTACATAAATTATGCTCATTCAGTAAATGAAGCTTAAAATAAGGTCTTCAGTACAGAAAAATAAGTCCATTTGAGCAGAGACTAACCTAAAGATTAAGCTCTCGTCCTAAATGATTATTCTGTGATATACGTAGTTTATATATGTGCATACAAATGTTATACATCCTTATAATTGCAACAGTAATTTATCAATCGTACACGAATAGTTAGGAAACAGCAGCAATATACCTGGATGGCTGTAACCTAAACGTTGGAACTGAAAGCGTTACGCAATTCACTGAAATTTTCCGTGCCCCCTTTATGTAAGTCTTGTTCAGTTACCACATTTTCGTGTTCACTTTGGCAAGAGTGTATTTTTTCAGAACACCAGCACAGAGAACACTGAGAACATTGCAACTGGGCATGTCGGTTGCAAGTGCAACTGTCTTGAAGTGCAAAAGTAATAAAGTTAAATAGTAGCCTAGTATGGCACAGCTCAAACCATGTATTTTGTGAGTGCATTATTTTGTATTTTTCTTGTGTAACTGAAATTCGGGGTTTCGTATGTAAATTTGTTAATAAATATGACAAGTATATCCAACTCTATTTTTGGTCATTACCGAATGGTTATATACATGAAGTTGTTTTGGCTGACTAATGTTAATTAGCCTCGTTCTTGTGACATTGTCTTCAAACTAACTATTCCTATACAAACGCTAATAAGAAACTGTTAAATATTGGAAGTGCTGAATTTCCACTATTTTCTATTCTCCAAGAAAATATGGACAGCAAAAAAAATCACATGAAAAAAAGACACAGCAACCACCTCACTATATAGAATCTCTCTCTCTCTCTCTCTCTCTCTCTCTCTCTCTCTCTCTCTCTCTCTCTCTCTCTCTCTCTCTCTCTCTCTCTCTCTCTCTCTCTCTCTCTCTCTCTCTCTCTCTCTCTCTCTCTCTCTCTCTCTCTCTCTCACACACACACACACACACGTGTATATATATTGTACCTAGTAGCCAGAACGCAGTACTTGGACTACTATGCAAGGCCCGATTTATCTAATAAGCCAAGTTTTCCTGAATTTATATATTTTTCTAATTTTTTTCTTATGAAATGATAAAGGTATCCATTTCATTTTGTATGAGTTAATTTTCTTAAATTGGAGTTAAAATTAACGTAGATATATGACCGAACCTAACCAACCCAACCTAACCTAACCTAACCTATCTTAACCTAACCTAAACTAACACAACTAAGTCAATAATGTATGTTCTGAATATAAAATATTAATAATAATTCAAATAAAATAACTGGAAGCAATTTATTGAAAATAAAGAAAATCATTCGGCCTATTAGGCAAATCGGGCCTTACATAATAGGTCGAGAAGTGCGTTCTGGCTACTAGGTCCGACATATATATATATATATATATATATATATATATATATATATATATATATATATATATATATATATATATATATATATATATATATATATATTATTAAATATGACCGAAAAAGTAAGATTAATAATTCTAACACGAATTTTCTCAATCTTTCGTACATTTCTTTTCACTGTTGGAGGTAATTCAAAAATCAATTCTCCAAAATTCATTTTTATTTCGAGTCTGACGCGACACTTGAGCGCGTTTCGTTAAACTTATTACATTTTCAAAGACTTTACACATACACAACTGAATAGAACTTACATATCTCCGATTTGTTTATATCTACATTTGAGTGAGGTGGATGGGGTTAGGTGGTATTTAATAGGGTATTAATTTCATCAACATAAGACAGAACACGAAACAATGGGTATTGAAATGGAAGTGATTGTAGAAAGCCTATTGGTCCATATTTCTTGATGCTTCTATATTGGAGCGGAGTCTTGAGGTGGGTAGAATATAGTTGTGCATTAATTGGCTGTTGATTGCTGGTGTTGACTTCTTAATGTGCAGTGCCTCGCAAACGTCAAGCCGTCTGCTATCGCTGTATTTATCGATGATTTCTGTGTTGTTTACTAGGATTTCTCTGGCGATGGTTTGGTTGTGGGAAGAGATTATATGTTCCTTAATGGAGCCCTGTTGCTTATGCATCGTTAAACGCCTAGCTAAATTAATACCCTATTAAATACCACCTCACCCCATCCACCTCACTCAAATGTAGATATAAACAAATCGGAGATATGTAAGTTCTATTCAGTTGTGTATGTGTAAAGTCTTTGAAAATGTAATAAGTTTTACGAAACGCGCTCAAATGTCGCGTCAGACTAGAAATAAAAATGAATTTTGGAGAATTGATTTTTGAATTACCTCCAACAGTGAAAAGAAATGTACGAAAGATTGAGAAAATTCGTGTTAGAATTATTAATCTTACTTTTTCGGTCATATTTAATAATATTTGTCTACAGGAAAGACTGCTACCAAAATATACTAATATATATATATATATATATATATATATATATATATATATATATATATATATATATATATATATATATATATATATATATAATGTCGTACCTAGTAGCCAGAACGCACTTCTCAGCCTACTATGCAAGGCCCGATTTGCCTAATAAGCCAAGTTTTCATGAATTAATTGTTTTTCGACTACCTAACCTACCTAACTTAACCTAACCTAACTTTTTCGGCGACCTAACCTAATCTAACCTATAAAGATAAGTTAGGTAGGATTGGTTAGGTTCGGTCATATATCTACGTTAATTTTAACTCTAATAAAAAAAAATTGACCTCATACATAATGAAATGGGTAGCTTTATCATTTCATAAGAAAAAAATTAGAGAAAATATATTAATTCAGGAAAAATTGGCTTATTAGGCAAATCGGGCCTTGCATAGTAGGCTGAGAAGTGCGTTCTGGCTACTAGTTACGACATATATATATATATATATATATATATATATATATATATATATATATATATATATATACACACACACACACAACTTGTTCTCGCACTATCGTATAGTCAATATTGACTTATTAAATACGTGCATACATATGTGACATACTAAACATACTAGTTTACCTTGAAAAGCTTCATAGAAAACACCGACCTTACCTAACCTTCATAGTATGTTAAGATAAGCATCTTATTGCTTCGTAATTACAATTTTTACTTAACCTATTACAAGTTTAGGTTATATACCTGTTATATAAGTAATTTAAGTATATAAGTATAGGTTATATAGGTAATTTGCCTATTACAGGTATAGGTTAAGTAATAATTGTAATTACGAAGCAATAAGATGCTTATCTTAAAATACTAAGAAGGTTAGGTAAGGTCGGTGTTTTCTATGAAGCTTTTCAAGGTAAACTAGTATGTTTAGTATGTCACTTATGCACGTATTTAATAAGTCAATATTTTTTTTTAAGAAAGTGCGAGAACGGGTTGATGTATATATAGGGGGGTACCATCTCTGGTGCAATTACAGGGACCCATAGCCTCAAAGAAGGGAACACAGAGCATTCAGAGAAAAACTTGCCATTTAACTCTGAATATGTATGAGTGTTCGCTTCTCCTACCACCACCCCCCCCTTTTTTTATGGTGTACACTTTATTATACAAGGTTGTACAGTTACATATCTGAATTTATACAAAAAAAGAACATTGAGAGGACACAAGAAAAAGTTCGCTTCCTAGAGGCTGTAGATTGCCTCGAACTCCTCCGACGCCGAGCAGGAACCGAGGATGCAGCGGGCATTCCCCCTCTGGATCGCAACACTGAGGCGCTGAAAGAGAAAACTTACCGCTCTAGGGTCTCTTGTAGTGTCAATGAGCTTGGAACCAAGATCCTTAAGAAACCTTCTTGCACTCTCTCCCCATGGGCCTAGGGTCTCAGACCCTATTGGAACGAAGTTGTACCGATGATCTAATTGCCTGTACTTGGCTGACTTGCGTCTTTCTCTGTGTGTCGCCGCGGCTCCTGCTTGGCTGGCAGAGAGGTTGATATATGTGGTTGCCAGGGTGGATACACAAGTATAATCCCATGCCAACTGTCTGCCACCCTTCCACGGTCGCAGTGTGATTCCATCTGGTCGGCCGGCAAAGCCAACAGAGTCACGGTTCAGTAGGTTGTGGGGCTCTCTCTCCGCTGGACACTGAGCAGAGGCAAAGCTTCTTTTAATGATGTCATTGACTTCGTCGTGTCTAGTGTGCCAACCACCAGATTTTCCACACTGCATGCCATGGAATCCATATTCGTCAGCATCTGCCTCGCCGTAAATACACCTATGAACAGTGTGGATAGAGGCAGCAAGGCGGAGAGCGACTGCAATACGGATAATCTGCAGATCAAGACGTGTGCCTGTCGCAGACATATGGACTGCCAAG